ACCATGCGTATACAGAAATTAATATTGAATGGTAAGTCACTTTTGGTCATCCAATAAAAGGAAAACAGTATGCGCCGCGTTAACATTAATATTATCTTAATTAACTTGTTAAGGAAAAACAAGTTAAAAAAAAATGAACTGTAAATACATTTTTTCATCAATGTAGTTCTGAGTCGGTTGAAAAATTCTCGGCATAGGAAAAATCAGCCAGATATAGGCCTTACACGGTGGGAATAAATCACATAACAAGAAGCTGAAGGCCTATCATTCTCACTTAGCGGACTTCTTCATGATTCAATTCTAGCCGGCTACGCGTAGCGAGACACCCCCACCCCTAAAAAAAACCAGGGGAGGAAACGTCTGCGAAAAGGTGGTGGGCATCGATACAGATAGGCTAAATCCCGTCCACATGAATTAAAAGAAAAGGCTAGATAAATGACTAATAGCTATTATTCCGGAATTTTGGCTAAGTACATTGAAGTTTGAAATTAAAAAAGCAGAAACACAATTTAAAAAAACAGTTAGGTCCAAGCTAGAAAATGTTTTCTAATTTCTTGTTTTCCAAGCCAAAAAATGTAGGAAATGCTAAGTGTCGACCGACCATCGACCGAGTGTCGACCAATTACTGACCGATACATCGGTCAAGTATCGACCAACTATCGACCAACTATCGGCGAAGTGTCGGCGAAGTGTCGGTGAACGAAAAGCTATATCGGCCGAGACACATCTGGAACGACTATCGACCGTGTCTCGACCGAGTGTCGACCGACTATCGACCGACTATCGACCGCTATGTCGACCGACTGTCGACCGAGTGTCGACCGAGTATCGACCGAGTGTCGACCGAGTATCGACCGACTGTCGACCGACTATCGACCGAGTATCGACCGACTGTCGACCGATTGTCGACCGCTATATCGACCGCTATATCGACCGACATCTCGGTCGACATTACCCACAGTAAACAAGATCTGGCTTAGTTTTAGTATTTTCCCTGCATGGCAGGCACAAAATAATCTTCAATGTGCACAGCACAGTTGCATTTGTGAGAAACGGAATCGAACTTTCAATCAAATTGTCGTTGTTTTACAACTTCCACTCTTTTGTATTCATTGCAAAAACATCCGGTCTTCTGAAATTGCGTGTTCCCCGGTCGCACATTTGAACCCGAAATCATTACGTAAAAACCCGGACACCAGGGCGACTTAAACAATCAGATATATTACCGGTTTGTTAAATGATCTATATCCTGCGATACTTCGTGAACAATCGGAATGTGACTGAATTGACGATGGTCTACAGTTGTCTCCGATAAAGCAACTTAACGAAGGAGTGAAGTAGGAACAGTCCGGGGTAGTACCCTCACAGGTACTCTAGATGAGAAGAAAAACAATTTGTTTGGAAACAGCTCAACCCGAGCAAGTTTAGTGTACGATCATCATTATCATCATTATCACCATCCAGGAGCCCTTCAAATGGAGCCTCCATCTCCCATACAAGCTCTTGGAGTCAACCCTTTCCCGAGTAGATTTATAATTAGAACGGTTCCCAGGGGAGGCTTCGCGCGCCGACGGTGGAAAGAGCCAATCACAACGACGTAATGACACTGCTATTGTACTTCATCAAACAGCAGGAAATTCGGTGTTGACAGGCCAAACAAAATCATAAGATAGTGAAACGTGACTTTAGCGTTTTCATCCCTCAGAGATTTTCTTTGTTTTCTTTCTAGCGGGTAGATTATACTGTGGAGAGTTTTAAACGCTGACTATGTAAACTTAATTTTGGTTGCTTGTCTCACATTAAGAGGCCATGAAGCTGGTCTGTTACATGCATAATGATTAACTACTACCTGCAGTCTGTAGTTCTGACAGGATTCGTTTTCTTTAGCCAATTTTTTGAGCGTTAAGGTTCTTATTTCGGCTAAATGACTCAATATTAATCACATTTCTGGTTTTTCAAGGTTTTTTTTTCCGAAATGGCTTTATCTGAATAAATACTTGTAGTCCTTGTGGTTGTTTTGTCCGTCAGCTAGTGTGATGATTCCCTGCTATGTTTTGTAACGCCGGGCCCAGCCATTGTTTTCTCGCAACAAAGTGATCTACAGATGCGAATTCGAAGGAAGGAATTGAGCGTAAACTTCTACATTAACTGCTGAGAATTGTCCTGTTAGTCAGTCATAATTCTTTTGGCGCAGATACAATCCATTTTGTTTTTCTTGAGACAAGTGGGTCTTTGGACTGGAGCGCGATATTACAAATTCCTCGGTTAGCAAATTATTTTTGAGTTAGCTTCACGATCGAGCAACTGTTGTTTTCTGTTCAACTTTTCAAGTGCCAGTTTTATCAGGCAACTCTCATGGTGATACAACGTCAGTTGTAAAGGAAGACTGCAATTTCTCAAATTTCGGAACTGAAGCATTCCTCGTTAGTTGCTACTTAGGTATCGCTTTTGCACGCGGTGCTTAAGTTAACTGGCGAAATCCACAACACGGTGATGACAAAACTCAAATGATCCTGGCACTTTTTCGGCGCTGATCATGGAAAAGTTCCAAATCGTCCACAGAACGCTTAATCGTCGACTCTTTTCTAGGTGCATGCTTAAATGTGGGATGTACGGCGGCAAAAAAAAAAAAAAGAAATACTCGCAAAGATAACCTTTCCGTGATCCTCAGTTCGCTGCCTTTGTCCCATCGCTTCATGCTCAGTCTCAGTCGGGTAATTCATTAACTTTTATTTCATGATACCCAGATCCCAGCGGCTGTAAAATTGTAAAAATGGACGTAAAGTAAAGAAGGAAAACGGTCGAAGGACGGGCTTCTGAGTTCGACTTCATCCAATTTTATTTTTTCACCGTGACATACGAGACTTACGGAAATATGACACTTTTCGCGGGAAACAAGCCGTTCTATTTATAAATCTACTCGGGAAAGGGTTGACTCAAGAAATTAATGGAGATGGAGGCTCCATTTGATGGGCTCCTGCACCATCATCATCATCATCATCATCATCATCATCATAGTATCTTTACAAATTTAGATATTACTGAATAATTAAGTAAATGAATAAATAAATAAATGATGAAATAGGAGATATCTGTCTGAAGAGACTACTTTCAAGGGTAACGAGCATCATCTTCTGTTTAGATTAAGGAATACATTTTGCAATTAGATATATACATGACTTGGGTGTAACCGATTGTATATTTTCATTAAAATATCGATAGGGTTCTAAAAATAAAAGGGTTTAGTTTCAAACGTGGGAATAGTTTAGTGTAGGAATTTACTGGTCCGTTTGTCTGTCCGTTGTGATTGAACAATTTTCTACCAAGTATCTCCGTTGAGAGTGTGCATTACATACGTCATCAGCCATGATATAGTCTAAGTCTGGCAGAGAAATCGAGGCTAACCACAAAATCTATTTTGGTCTATATAGTTATTATTTTTAGAAGACTTCCTAGAATTTCTACACTTCTTTCTTTTTTTGTCAGTAATTTCAATATTGAAGTTCTTGAAGGAGTTTCGTCAAGAGGATTTTGCTGTTTTCTGTCAATTCTGTGCTGACGTCATTAGTACATACAACCTTACCCCGTACGCCAAATGCTTCTGTAGAGTCACCAAGAAGATACCGAGCAAATTTTATCACGGATCCCTAAGCAATTTTTTTTGGTGATTTTTGCAGGAATAGCATTCAAACTTTAAAAAATTGGCCCAACTTTTTCAAGTTTCAAGACCTTTGCAACAGACGACCGTGATTAATAAGTTTCGATGCCTAAATATATATAGTCTTACATAACAAAACTGGACCATTAGTTTTGGAATTTTTTTAATACAAATGCAGAAATAGTTTTCGGCTTTTCAAAAAGATAACAAATATCATGACATCATCATCATCACCATGACATAGACCTCTTTCATAATGGCGACCTATTAATATATTCTTTTATATGTGTCATAATTAGCCGTTCAGACTTCGTTTGAAAGTATGAATTGTCTTGTATTTTGCACATGCTAACGAGGTCGGTAAGGCTAATAATCATACATATAAAAGAATGTATTAATAGGCCTCCATTATGAAAGAGGTGTATAGCCCCTTTAAAAATAGACAGCGAGCAAAATACTTTCTTTGCTTGGGGAGTGGGGCTTAGTTAAGGAAGGAAAGAACCAAAGAGATTCGCACCTATCGAGTACAGAGAGCTAGTCTTACTCTACCTTATTATATTACAGCGTCTTGTGGATGTGAATGGAGTTTTTAAATTTCTAGCAAATGTAATTCTGGAAACGATGAGCAAACCTCTTATAACGTTTAAATTAAAACTACACCCTTGCATCTTTGGCGATTGTGTTGAAACATGTTCCATCATCAGGGGATTATTTCCTTCCAAACACAAATAAATACCTTTCTCATTTTCAAAACCTAAAAGGAACAATAATACTATTGAAGAGTAATTTTTCATCGACAGTTAACATGGTGTGCCAGAAAAACAAAGAACGCTGAGCAGCTTATTTAGTGCTGTTTGTTATCATGCACGACGTAGGTATTCTGTACAATGTGGTGCTAGTATTCGGGTTCGTGAATGAAATTATTAGTGTGACCGTGTTGAATAAATAATTTTGATGGTGGGACATTTCTGTGGTACTGTTTAATTACGCTGTTGTTCTGTCGATGAAATCCTAAAGTATGACCATTCAAATGAAAGATACTGAGCAGTGCTTTCCTCTGTTACTGTGTATTATGAAGCAGTCGAGGTAGTTCTTTCTTTTCAATCTGTGAATTCCCAAAGTCCTAAAGTGTGAAATGAAAGCTACTGAGCATTAGTTTCCTGTAGTATTGATAATCATGTCATGTACAAGGTGGGTGTACAGAGAATACGATTTTTCACACTTTTTAGTCCGAATTAAGCATAAGTTAATAAGAAGTTTACATGACTTTTTTTTTATGTTATATGCCTTGCAGTGTATGAACCTCTTAAGTGCTCACTGACTCTAATCTTGTCCCAGCTCGTCACCGTTCTGTGGTTTTGCTGTGTCCTTCTCTCATAGGAAAGTAAATTCTAGTCTTGGAACAAAAGATTGATGAGAGGGAAAGCTCTACATCCAGGCACGTACATCCTTCTGAAGAAGCCCCAGGAGAAGCCGTCAAGGGCGAGGATCCCCTGGGAGGTAGGCTAGAAGAGAAAAATGCTCTTGAAACTGAAGGAGAGGAATTAAACTTCAAGGGCAATAAATCTTTGATTATTCCTGGCTCTTGGTTACAAAGACTTGTGTTTATAGTCTGAAATCGATCGAGGTAAACAGATCTTGTAATTCCTGGTTCATACTTGTAAGGAAGGTTTCGAAATTTATAAACCAGTCTTTGGCCTTTCACCTGTTTGAATAAAATAAATATATATCGAATAAATAAGTAAATAATAGGCAAGCCATCCTTTTAATGGATATCAAAGCTTCTCTTGTCATTTGTCTCACGGTATATGTACCTTTAGTTAGGAACTTATATATAACGTTCAACAATTTTTTCTGAACACAGAACAAAGACTAATAATTACAATTTGTACAGCGTGGTTTTTTAAAGAACTGGTTTGCACCTGTCCACTAAAGAAACAGTGAAACAACACACAAAAACACACTTTTAAGACAGTAATGCGTAGTACAACATAATTGAAAAACAGTTCCATCTTAGCCTTATTTGGAATGGCCACACTTCAGGATTTCATCAGCAGACTCAAAAGATTGAACAACCTTGTCTAGCGTGTTAGACAGTACCACAGGAAAGTACTGCTCTGTAGCTTTAATTTCAATGGTCACATTTAAGGCTAACGTTAACAGAATCAAATTTATAAACACCTTATACAGCATAAAAGCAGCATCACAGTTAAGCATTGCTCAGTAGCTTTCATTTGATTGGTAACACTTAAGGATTTCATTCACAGACTAAAAAGTTAGAACTACCTTGTACAGCTGAACAACTCAACAGAGAGGAAAAGTAGAAAAAAACTACTAAAACCATTCATTTGGATTTTAATCCCATAGGATTTCATCTACAAACTCTCGTTCCTTGACGGCATAATAAACAGCTTCACAGAAGAGTCCTACTCTGTATTTATTTCAGTTCATCTGAATAGTTACAACTTTTCTGTGGTAGATGATTGAACTTGCATTGTTCTAACCAATAGCGACGCAGCGGTCTTTCTTTCTATCCAGCATGATCCATTGATTAAAAAATTTTAATCAATTTTGTTTATTTTTGCTACAGTGGCGTTTGCGACAAAAAGAGAGAAACGCACGCTAGCTAGCTGCATAGCCCTTCAAGATGTATCAAAACGCTATTAGAATATCAAAGATTACTTTGGTGATAATTCCTTCTCGATAGTACAATCTCAAGGCTCGACTTAGCTTCCCGTAGTCCATTCCACCCCTCTGTTTGAACATTCCCCATCTTTTTGCTACCTCGTGGTGATTTAAGAGCTGAAACTCTCCTTCCTCCTCCCTTCTCCAGCATATGATGGACTTGCACCTCTCATCAGCTAGAAGCTCTAACAAAAACTCCCAGAGATGAAGCATATTTTTATATTTGTGTCGTGGCCGCGTGGAGACCGAACAGGTCTGGACGGGGCGTGCTCCAGAGGGCTCAACGACATCGTTGCACTGTGCCTTGAGTTCAATGTCTTTCCTTAGCTTAAAGCCAACTATATAGTTCGCAAAGAAGCGTAAATGTGAAAAAAAAAATCAAACTGCTCGCCTGATATGAATGCACAACCGACAATACATGGTCTTAAAACGTGCTTATTGTCATTGCTATTACGGTTTGCGCATGCGGGTGGTCAACTGTCGCGACCGAAACATTAAAAACATTATTTCACTAGTTCAAATTTAGATTTATTAGCATAACCAGAGTATTTATTTACTTTCATTTTTCTTATCAATTATCTATTACGAGGATAACGAATATTATATTCATCGATCATTTATCATTTTAATAGATATACTTATATTAATTTATCAACAAAAAAATAGGTTTACCAACTTCTCGTTCTATGATATTGAATGTTGTTACAGTCAATTTCATCCATTGTATATCTTGTATATATTGTAATTTTTCATGCATTTTGGTCCATAAAATAGTTTTGGGGCAAATAAAGTATTCATATAAATATGAAAGTAAGAGTTCGTTTTTCTTCTTTTACTTTTTGTGGGTGTCTGTGTACGTAGCTTCCTGAAGAAACACTTAAACTTAAACTCGCTCTTGAAGATGTATTTAATAACCACCTTTTTCAAAGTTGCTGGAAGGGTTGGATGGTTGTTGTTATGTCTTTGGTACGTCTTCTATATGACTTTATTCCTGATAATTTTTTTCCTGCACTTCCCACTGACTTCCTTATCACTGAATATGACGATAGGTACGTGCAATATATGAATCGCTTACTTCCCGTGATCCTCTTCTCCCAAAATGGAAGGTTTATCTACTCTGTTTACAGGCTTAGTTTTAGTATTTTCCTTGCATGGTAGGCACAAAATAATCTTGAATGTACACATTACAGTTGCACTTGTGCGGAACGGAATCGAACTTTCAATCAATAGTCGTTGTTTTACAACTTCCACTCCTTTGTATTCATTGCAAAAACATCCGGTCTTCTGAAATTGCGTGTTCACCGGTCGTACCTTTGAACCTGAAATCATTACCTTCAAAATTAAAAACCGGACACCAGAGGCGACTTAAACAATCAGATAAATTACCGGTTTATTAAATGATCTATATCCTGCGATACTTTGTAAACCATCGGAGTGTGACTGAATTGACGATGGTCTACAGTTGTCTCCGATAAAGTAACTTAACGAAGGAGTGGAGTAGGAATTCATTCATTCATGAATTTGAGGGTTATATCCAGAGAGGTCAGGTAAGTTCAAACGGTTTTAAAGTTTTCAAAGGTTGCATAGTTGAATACTTGAATTTTACTGGTTCGTTTGTCTGTCAGTTGTGATTGAACAATTTTCTTCCAATTATCCTGGTTTGAAACTCTGCACTGCATACGTCATCCTTTAGAAAAATTGATCAATCATGATAAAGCCTAAATCTGGCAGAGAAAATTGAGGCTAATCACAAAATCTGTTTTGGTCTATATTTTTTTTTTTTTTTTGCAGACGAATTCCTACACTTCTTCCTTATTTCGTCAGTTATTTCCATTTTTAAGTTCTTAAAGGAGTTCTGTCAAGAGGATTTTGCTGTTTCTGTCAATCCTGTGCTGACGTCATTAGTACGTAGTACCTTACCCCGTACACCAAATGCTTGTGTAGAGTCATCAAGAAGATATCGAAAAAATTTTATCACGGATCCCTAAGCAATTTTTTTGGTGATTATTGCAGGCATTGCATTCAGACTTTAAAAAGCTGGCTCAACTTTTTCAACTTTTTCAATTTTCACATGGCCTTTGCAACGGACGACAGGAATAGGTTTCAATGCCTAAATATATATAGTTTTACATAACAAAACTGGACCATTAGTTTTGGAATTTTTTTAATATAAATGCAGAAATAGTTTTCGGCTTGATAAAAAGATAACAAATAACATGACATCATCATCATCAGCATGACATAGACCTCTTTCATAATGGAGGCCTATTAAGATATTCTTTTATATGTATGGTAATTAGCCTTTCAGACCTCGTTTGAAAGTATGAATTTTCTTGTATTTTGCACATGCTAACGAGGACAGTAAGGCTAATTATCATAGATATAAAATAAGATATTAATAGGCCACTATTACGAAAGAGGTCTATAGTCCTTTTAAAAATAGACAGCGAGCGAAAGGAAGGAAAGAACGAAAGAGATCATGATTGGCACCTATAGAGTACACTTTTAGAGTTATTACTCTGACTTTAAAAGAGGCGTGCTGATAAGCTCTATATTAAAGCGTCTTGGGGATGTGGATGGAGGTTTTAAATTTCTAGCAAATCTAATTCTAGATATGATGACCAAAAATCATATACATTTTAGAAACAAATTAATACTACACCCTTGCATCTTTGGCGATTGTTTTCAAACATGCTCCTTAATCAGGGAATTATTTCCTTCCAAACACAAATACCGTGTTCATTTGCAAATCCTCAAAAGAACAATAGTAGTGTTTACGAGTTATTTTTCAGCGAGACTTAACATATTGAGCCAGAAAAACAAAGAACGCTGAGAAGCACTTAAATAGTGTTGTTTGTTATCATGCACGACGTAGGTATTCAGTATAATGTGGCTCTAGCTTTTGGATGCTTCTGATTATGGGACTTTTCTGTGGCACTCTTTATAATTAGGCTGTGGTTCTGTGGATGAAATCCTAAAGTGCGACCATTCAAATGAAAGATACTGAGCAGTGCTTTCCTGTGCTGCTGTGTATTATGAAGCAGTCGAGGTGGTCCTATCTTTTGAATCTGTAAATTCCCAAAGTCCTATAGTGTGAAATGAAAGCTACTGCACCAGCAATACTTTCCAGTAGTGCTGTTAATCATGATGTACAAGGTGGGTATATAGTGAACACGATTTTTCAGACCTTCAGTCCGAATTAAGCATAAGTTTATAAGAAGTTTACATGACTTTTTTTTAATGTCATATGCCTTGCAGTGTATGAACTTCTTAAGTGTTTACTGACTCTAATCTTGTCCCAGCTTGTCATCATTCTGTGGTTTTGTTGTGTCCTTCTCGCACAGGAAAGTAAATTCTAGTCTTGGAACAAAAGATTGATGAGAGGGAAAGCTCTACATCCAGGCACGTACATCCTTCTGAAGAAGCCCTGGGAGAAGCTGTCCAGGGCCAGGATCTCCTGGGTAGTAGCCTAGAAGAGAAAAATGCTCTTGAAACTGGAGGAGAGGAATTCAACTCTATCAAGGGCAATAAATCTTTGATTATTCCTGGCTCTTGGTCACAGGGACTTGTGTTTATAGTTTGAAATCGATCGCGGTAAACAGATCTTGTAATTCCTGGTTCATACTTGTAAGGGAGGTTTCGAAATTTATAAACCAGTCTTTGGCCTTTCACCTGTGTGAATATAATAAATATATATCAAATAAATAGGTAAATAATAAGCATCCTGTAATGGACATCAAAGCTTGTCTTGTCATTTGTTTCACTGTATATGTGCCTTTAGATAGGGACTCGTATAGAACGTTCCAAAATTTTTCTAAACACAGAACAAAGACTAATAAATACATGAGGGTGGTCTTTTTAAGCACTGGTTTGTACCACTAAAGAAACGGTGAAAGAAGACAGCTAATACACTTTAAAAACAGTAATGCATTATTAGTGTAGCATAGTGAATAAACAGTTCCACTTTAGCCTTATTTTGAATGGGCTATGACACTTCTTAAGATTTCATCAACAGACTCAAATGATTGAACTTGTTTAACAAGTTAGACAGTACCACAGGAAGGTACTGCTCTCTTGCTGTACTGACTCTCTAGCTTTCATTTGAATGTCACATTAAAGGGTAACATCCAAAGAATCAAATTTATAAAGACCTTGTAAAACATAATAAACAGCACCACAGAAAAGCACTGCTCAGTAGCTTTCCTTTGATTGCTAACAGTTTAGGATTTCTTCCACAGACACAAAAGTTAGAACATACTATCTTAAACAGCTTAACAACCCAAAAGAGAGGAGATGTAGAAACAGCTACTCATAAGGCCCTTCATTTGAATTTTAATTCTATAGGATTTCATCTACAAACTCAAACGTTACAGCAGCTCTTGACAGCATAATAAACAGCCTCACATGAAAGAGCTGCTTAGTATTTATTTAGTTTTCATATGAATAATCACAATTTACATCCACCGACTCAAAGGTTAGAACTCTCTTGTGAAGCACGCTAGTCAGTACTTCACATACAGGAAAGCACTGCACAGTAAGTTTTAATGAAATTCTTACACTCTAGTTCTTCGTTTACAGACTAAAAAGTCAGAACCACCCTGTAAAGCATAATAACAGTGCCTCAAGTGGAAAAACTACAAATTGCCATAACTTGAATTTAATTCTTTAGGATATTTCATCCACGGACAATTACATGCATCTCCTTCATTATATTTTATAGCATAATCAACATGCAGTACCATAGGAAGGAACAGCTAATTATACCATTCACTTTGACATTCGAATTGATATGAAGAAACTCGGTACGACTCTTAGTTATATTCTACTGAAATAGTCAAACTCTAGGATTCTGATGCATCATTAATTTCAGAATGCTATCACCCAAAATTCACAAACAAGAAGCCACGACTCGTTGTTAGGTACATTATCATAAAATTCATCTTAGTTTTTAACACTGGCGATAAAGTACATGTATTATTTTTTATCCGTCAATATCATTTTTATTAGCATGTTCATGATCAGGCTTATTAAACAAAAACAATGATCCAGCATGGAGAAAAAATGTTGAAAGGTGACGCAAACGCAGTAAAATTTCGTTTATATTTGACTCATAAACAATGACTCTGTTGCGTTCTGAGATTCCTGACTCCTTCGCAATACAAGATCTCTTGGTGGAGACTAAATTTCACACAAATCTTCTTAAGGTAAAATCTTTTTTGTCTGTTAGGTACGATACTTTAAAGACAACAGTTAACTCATACCCGAACGACTATCCAAACAGTTTCTTGAGGTTCACGCCTGGTTGAAAGGCAAGTTCATTTCAAGGCTCAACTCCCTGATCCCACTGGCAGATTTTTTGTTAAAAAGCGTTTATAGCTGCTTCTCCTCATTTTGAAACGTTTTTTCGAAAATATATCTATCGTGAATGAGATTAGACTCAGTCCATTGTAGTTGTTAGACAATATAGCCTGTTTTAAGAGAATAACAAAGAGGTCTAGCAGATGGTTATTAGACGACTGTTGATCATGACAGCAATAAAATTATACACCTTTCAATTGCGCCGTCCGTATGAGGTAGCTTAAACCTTCTATATTTATATGAGGGTTTTTCATATACAAATTTTCTCGGGTAGATGATTGAACTTGCATTGTTCTAACCAATAGTCGCGCGGCGGTCTTTGTGAGATCCAGCATGACCCATTGATTAAAAAATTTTAATCAATTTTGTTTATTTTTGCTACAGTGGCGTTGGCGACAAAAAGAGAGAAAGGCACGCTAGCTAGGTGCATAGCCCTTCAAAATGTCTTAAAACGCTATTAGAATGTCAAACATTACCTTGGTGATAATTCCTTCTCGATAGTACAATCTTAAGGCTCGACTTAGTTTCCCGTAGTCCATTCCACCCCTCTGTTTGAACATTCCCCATCTTTTTGCTACTTCGTGGTGATTCAAGAGCTGAAACTCTCCTTCCTCCTCCCTTCTCCAGCATATGATGGACTTGCACCTCTCATCAGCTAGAAGCTCTAACAAAAACTCCCAGAGATGAAGGATATTTTTATATTTGTGTTGTGGCCGCGTGGGGACCGAACAGGTCTGGACGGGGCGTGCTCCAGACGGCTCGACGACATTGTTGCCCTTTCCACTGAGTTCCATGTCTTTCCTCAGCTTAAAAGCAGCTACATTGTTCGGAAAGAAGCGTACATGTCAACAAAAATCAAACTTCTCGCCTGATTTATGTATACACTGCCGACAATACACGGTCGTAAAACGTGTTTATTGTCATTGCTATGACGGTTTGCGCATGCGAGCAGTCAACTGACGCGACCGAAACATTGAAAACATTATTTCACCAGTACAAAGCTGGGTTTATTAGCATAACCAGAGTATTTATTTACTTTCATTTTTCTTATCAATTATCTATTACGAGGATAACGAATATTATATTCATCGATCATTTATCATCTTAATATATTTGCTTATATTAATTTATCAACAAAAAGAAAAGATAGGTTTACCAACTTCTCTTATTGAATGTTTTTGTAGTTAATTTCATCCATTGTAGATCTCAGTAGTTTTTCATGCATTTTACTCTTTAAAATAGTTGGGGCAAATTAAGTATGCATATAATTATGAAAGTAAGCGTTCGTTTTTCTTCTTCTATTTTTTGTACGTGTGTGTCTGTGTGGCTTCCTGAAGAAACACTTAAACTCGCTCTTAAAATTGTATTTAATAAGCACCTTTTTCAAGGTTTCTGGAAGGGATGGATGGTTTTATTGTGTCTTTGGTACGTCTTCTATATGACTTTGTTCCTGAAACTTATTTTCTGCAGTTTCTAATCACCGGATATGACGATAGTTTACGCGCGGTATATTAATCGCTCTTTACCGTGATCCTCTTTTCCCAAAATAAAAATTTTATCTACTCTGTTTACAGGCTTAGTTTTAGTATTTTCCCTGCATGGCAGGCACAAAATAATCTTAATGTGCACAGAACATGTACAGTTGCATTTGTGCGGAACGGAATCGGACTTTCAATAAAATTGTCGTTGTTTTACAACTTCCACTCTTTTGTATTCATTGCCAAAACATCCGGTCTTCTGACATTGCGTGTCCACGGGTCGTACCCGAAATCATTACGTAAAAACCCGGACACCAGGGCGACTTAAACAATCAGATATATTACCGGAATTAAAAAATCCGGACACCGTGAACAGGCGAATGTGACTTAAACAATCAGATATATTACTGGTTTATTAAATGATCTATATCCTGCATGAGAAAAAAAAAAAATTGGTTTGTAAACAATCGAGCCAGTTTAGTGTGACTGAGTTGACGATCATCTAAATTTAGATATTCTGAATAATTAAAAAGTGAATAAATAAATAAATAAATGATGAAAAGGAGATATCTGTCTGAAGAGACTACTGTCATTCATTCTGTTTAATTTGAGGACTATTTCAATTAGATATATCATGATAAGTAACAGATTGTATATTTTCATTAAAAACGGTTTTAAAAAGATTTTTTCAAACGAAATTTTAATGCTGTGATAGTGGGAATAGTTTAGTTTAGGAATTTACTGGTCCGTTTGTCTGTCCGTTGTGATTGAACAATTTTCTACCAAGTATCTCGGTTGAGAGTGTGCATTACATACGTCATCCTTTGGAAAAATTGATGAGCCATGATATATTCTAAGTCTGGCAGAGAAATCAAGGCTAACCCCAAATTCTTTTTTGGTCTATATAGTTGTTTTTTTAGAAGACTTCCTCGAATTTCTACACCTCTTTCTTTTTTTGTCAGTAATTCTTAAAGGAGTTCTGTTAAGAGGGTTTTGTCGTTTTTTGTCAATTCTGTGCTGACGTCATTAGTACGTACTACCTTACCCCGTACACCAAATGCTTCTGTAGAGTCACCATGAAGATATCGAGCAAATTTTATCACGGATCCGTAAGCAATTTTTTTTGGTGATTTTTGCCGGAATAGCATTCAAACTTTAAAAAATTGGCCCAACTTTTTCAAGTTTCAGTGCATGCTCTTTGCAACAGACGACCGTGATTAATAAGTTCGATGCCTAAATATATCTAGTCTTACATAACAAAACTGGACCATTAGTTTTGGAAGTTTTTTAATATAAATGCAGAAATAGTTTTCGGCTTTTCAAAAAGATAACAAATAACATGACATCATCATCATCAGCATGACATAGACCTCTTTCATAATGGCGGCCTATTAAGATATTCTTTCATATGTATGGTAATTAGCCTGTCAGACCTCATTTGAAAGTATGAATTTTCTTGTATTTTTGCACATGCTAACGAGGTCAATAAGGCTAATAATTATTCATATAAAAGAATATATTATTAGGCCTCCATTATGAAAGAGGTCTATAGCCCCTTTAAAAATAGACAGCGAGCAAAATACTTTCCTTGCTTGGGGAGTGGCGCTTAATTAAGGAAGGAAAGAACGAAAGAGATCATGATTCGCACCTATCGAGTTCAGAGAGCTAGTCTTAATCTACCTCAAAAAGGGGTGTGCTGATAAGCTCTATATTAGAGCGTCTTGTGGATGTGGATGGAGATTTTGAATTTCTAGAAAATCTAATTGTAGATATGATGACCAAAAGTCATATAAATTTTAAAATCAATTTAATGCTACACTCTTGCATCTTTGGCGATTGTGTTGAAACATGTTCCTTCATCAGGGGATTATTTCCTTCCAAACACAAATACCTTTCTCATTTGCAAAACCTAAACGCCGAACAATAATACTATTCAAGAGTAATTTTTCATCGAGAGTTAACATGTTGTGCCAGAAAAACAAAGAACGCTGAGCAGCTTATTTAGTGCTGTTTGTTATCATGCACGACGTAGGTATTCTGCGTACAATGTGGTTCTAGTATTCGGGTTCGTGAATGAAATTATTAGTGTGACCATGTTGAATAAATAATTCTGATTGTGGGACTTTTCTGTGGTACTGTTTAATTACGCTGTGGTTCTGTCGATGAATGAATCCTAAAGTATGACCATTCAAATGAAAGATACTGAGCAGTGCTTTCCTGTGCTGCTGTGTATTATGAAGCAGTCGAGGTGGTTCTGTCTTTTGAATCTGTAAATTCGCAAAGTCCTATAGTATGAAATGAAAGCTACTGAGCAATACTTTCCTGTAGTACTGTTAATCATGATGTACAAAGTGGGTGTATAGTGAACACGATTTTTCAGACCTTCAGTCCGAATTAAGCATAAGTTAATAAGAAAATTACACGACTTTTTTTAATGTTATATGCCTTGCAGTGTATGAACTTCTTAAGTGCTGACTGACTCTAATCTTGTCCCAGCTTGTCACTGTCCTGTGGTTTAGCTGTGTCCTTCTCTCACAGGAAAGTAAATTCTAGTCTTGGAACAAAAGATTGATGAGAGGGAAAGCTCTACATCCAGGCACGTACATCCTTCTGAAGAAGCCCTGGGAGAAGCTGTCCAGGGCCAGGATCTCCTGGGAGGAAGGCCAGAAGAGAAAAATGCTTTTGAACCTGGAGGAGAGGAATTCAACTCTATCAAGGGCAATAAATCTTTGATTATTCCTGGCTCTTGGTCACAAAGACTTGTGTTTATAGTTTGAAATCGATCGCGGTAAACAGATCTTGTAATTCCTGGTTCATACTTGTAAGGGAGGTTTCGAAATTTATAAACCAGTCTTTGGCCTTTCACCTGTGTGAATAAAATAAATATATATCAAATAAATAAGTAACTAATAAGCATCCTGTAATGGACATCAAAGCTTGTCTTGTCATTTGTTTCACTGTATATGTGCCTTTAGATAGGGACTCATATAGAACCTTCCAAAATTTTTCTAGACACAAAACAAAGACTAATAATTACATGAGAGTGGTCTTTTAAGCACTGGTTTGTACCACTAAAGAAACGGTAAAAGAAGACAGCTAACACACTTTAAAAACAGTAATGCATTATTAGTGTAGCATAGTGAATAAACAGTTCCATTTTAGCCTTATTTTGAAAGGGCAATGACACTTCTTAAGATTTCATCAGCAGACTCAAATGATTGAACTTCCTTGTTTAACAAGTTAGACAGTACCACAGGAAGGGTACTGCTCCGTTGCTGTACTGCTCCCAGCTAGGTTTCATTTGAATGTCACATTAAAGGGTAACATCCAAAGAATCAAATTTATAATTATAAAGATCTTGTACAACATAATAAACAGCACCACAGAAAAGCACTGTTCAGTAGCTTTCCTTTGATTGCTAACAGTTTAGGATTTCGTTCACAGACACAAAAGTTAGAACATACTACCTTATACAGCTAAACAACCCAAAAGAGAGGAGATGTAGAAACAGCTACTCATAATTATAAGGCCCTTCATTTGAATTTTAATCCTATAGGATTTCATCTACAAACTCAAACGTTACAGCCGCTCTTGACAGCATAATAAACAGCCTCACATGAAAGAGCTGCTTAGTATTTATTTAGTCTTCATACGAATAATCACAATTTACATCCACAGACTCAAAAGTTGGAACTCTCTCCATTGTGAAGCACGCTAGTCAGTACTTCACATACAGGAAAGCACTGCACAGTAACTTTTAATGAAATTCTTACACTCTAGTTCTTCGTTTACCGACTCAAAAATCAGAACCACCCTGTAAAGCATGATAACAGTGCCTCATGAGGAAAAACTACAAATTGCCATAACTCGAATTTAATTCTTTAGGATTTCATCCACAGACAATAACGTGCATCCCCATCATTATATTTTATAGCATAATCGGCAACATGCAGTACCACAGAAAGGAACAGCTAATTATACCATTCACTTTGATATTCGAATTGTTATTAAAAAACTCAGTACCACTTTCAACATCTCTTTTTATATTCTACTGAAATAGTCCAATTCTAGGATTCTGATGCATCATTTCAGAATGCTATCACCCAAAACTCACAAATAAGCCACGACTCCAGTTACGTACATTATCATGAAATTCATCTTAGTTTTTAACACTGGCGATAAAGCACATGTATTATTTTTTATCGATATCATTTTTATTACCATGTTCATGATCAGGCTTATTAAACAAAAACAATGATCCAGCATGGAGAAAAAATGTTGAACGGTAACGCAAACGCAGTAAAATTTCGTTTATATTTGACTCATAAACAATGACTCTATTGCGCTCTGAGATTCCTGACTTCTTCGCAATACAAGATCTCTTGGTGGAGACTAAATTTCACAAATCTTCTTAAGGTAAAATCTTTTTTGTTTGTTAGGTACGATACTTTAAAGACAACAGTTAACTCATACCCGAACGACTATCCAAACAGTTTCTTGAGGTTCACGCCTGCTTGAAAGGCAAGTTCATTTCAAAGCTCAACTCCCTGATCCCACAGGCAGATTTTTTGTTAAAAAGCGTCTATAGCTGCTTCTCCTCATTTTGAAAGGTTTTTTCGAAAATATATCTATCGTCAATGAGATTAGACTCAGTCAATTGTAGTTGTTAGACAATATAGCCTGTTTTAAGAGAATAACAAAGAGGTCTAGCAGATGGTTATTAGACGACTGTTGATCATGACAGCAATAAAATTATATACCTTTCAATTGCGCCGTCCGTATGAGGTAGCTTAAACCTTCTATATTTATATGAGGGTTTTTTATATACAAATTTTCTCGGGTACATGATTGAACTTGCATTGTTCTAACCAATAGTCGCGCGGCGGTCTTTGTGAGATCCAGCACGACCCATTGATTAAAAAATTTTAATCAATTTTGTTTATTTTTGCTACAGTGGCGTTGGCGACAAAAAGAGTGAAAGGCACGCTAGCTAGCTGCATAGCCCTTCAAAATGTCTTAAAACGCCAGTAGAATGTCAAACATTACCTTGGTGATAATTCCTTCTCGATAGTACAATCTTAAGGCTCGACTTAGTTTCCCGTAGTCCATTCCACCCCTCTGTTTGAACATTCCCCATCTTTTTGCTACTTCGTTGTGATTCAAGAGCTGAAACTCTCCTTCCTCCTCCCTTCTCCAGCATATGATGGACTTGCACCTCTCATCAGCTAGAAGCTCTAACAAAAACTCCCAGAGATGAAGGATATTTTTATATTTGTGTTGTGGCCGCGTGGGGACCGAACAGGTCTGGACGGGGCGTGCTCCAGAGGGCTCGACGACATTGTTGCCCTTTCTATTGAGTTCCATGTCTTTCCTCAGCTTAAAAGCAACTACATTGTTCGGAAAGAAGCGTTCATGTGAACAAAAATCAAACCTCTCGCCTGATTTATGTATGCACTGCCGACAATACACGGTCGTAAAACGTGTTTATTGTCATTGCTATGACGGTTTGCGCATGCGGGCGGTCAACTGTCGCGACCGAAACATTGAAAACATTATTTCACCAGTACAAAGCTGGGTTTATTAGCATAACCAGAGTATTTATTTACTTTCATTTTTCTTATCAATTACCTATTACGAGGATAACGAATATTATATCCATCGATCATTTATCATCTTAATATATTTGCTTATATTAATTTATCAACAAAAAGAAAAGATAGGTTTACCAACTTCTCTTATTGAATGTTTTTGTAGTTAATTTCATCCATTGTAAATCTCAGTAATTTTTCATGCATTTTACTCTTTAAAATAGTTGGGGGCAAATTAAGTATGCATATAATTATGAAAGTAAGTGTTCGTTTTTCTTCTTCTATTTTTTGTACGTGTGTGTCTTGTAGTATCAATTTTTTTTTAAACCTGAAGAAACACTTAAACTCTTCTCTTAAAAAATTTTGATGTATTTAATAAGTACACCTTTTCTTAAAAATGTAGGTTTCTGGAAGGGTTGGATGGTTTTATTGTATCTTTGGTACGTCTTCTATATGACTTTGTTCCTGAAAATTGTTTTCTGCACTTCCTAATCACCGGATATGACGATAGTTTACCGCGCCGTGCGGTATATGAATCGCTTACTTACCGTGATCCTCTTCTCCCAAAATGAAAAGTTTATCTACTCTGTTTACAGGCTTAGTTTTAGTATTTTCCCTGCATGGCAGGCACAAAATCTTAAATGTGCACAGCACAGTTGCATTTGTGCGGAACGGAATCGAATTTTCCATCAAACTGTCGTTGTTTTACAACTTCCACTCTTTTGTATTCATTGCAAAAACATCCGGTCTTCTGAAATTGCGTGTTCACCGGTCGTACCTTTGAACCTGAAATCATTACCTACAGAATTAAAAACCGGACACCAGAGGCGACTTAAACAATCAGATATATTACCGGTTTATTAAATGATCTATATCCTGCGATACTTTGTAAACAATCGGAGTGTGACTGAGTTGACGATGGCCTACAGTTGTCTCCGATAAAGTAACTTAACGAAGGAGTGGAGTAGGAATTCATTCATTCATTCATGAATTTGAGGACTATTTCCAGAGAAGTCAGTTAAGTTCAGTGTAAGTTCAAACGGTTTTAAAGTTTTCAAAGGTTGCATAGTTGAATACTTGAATTTTACTGGTTCATTTGTCTGTCCGTTGTGATCGAACAATTTTCTTCCAAGTATCTCGGTTGAGAGTCTGCACTGCATACGTCATCCTTTGGAAAAATTGATCAGCCATGATATAGTCTAAGTCTGGCAGAGAAATCGAGGCTAACCACAAAATCTATTTTGGTCAATATAGTTATTTTTTTTTAGAAGACTTCCTAGACTTTCTACACTTCTTTCTTTTTCTGTCAGTAATTTCCATATTGAAGTTCTTAAAGGAGATCTGTCAAGAAGATTTTGCTCTTTTTCGTCAATTCTGTGCTGACGTCATTAGTACGTGGTACCTTACCCCGTACACCAAATGTTTCTGTAGAGTCATCAAGAAGATATCGAGCAAATGTTATCACGGATCCCTAAGCAATTTTTTGGGTGATTATTGCAGGCATAGCACTCAAACTTTAAAAAAACTGGCCGCATGCCCTTTGCAACAGACAACAGTGATTAATAAGTTTCGATGCCTAAATATATGTAGTCTTACATAACAAAACTGGACCATTAGTTTTTGAATTTTTTTTAATATAAATGCAGAAATAGTTTTCGCCTGTTCAAAAAGATAACAAATATCACCACAGCGAGCAAAATACTTTCTTTGCTTGGGGTTTGGCGCTTAATTAAGGAAGGAAAGAACGAAAGAGATCGTGATTTGCACCTATCGAGTACAGAGAGCTAGTCTTACTCTACGTCAAAAAGAGGTGTGGTGATAAGCTCTATATTAGAGCGTCTTGTGGATGTGAATGGAGGTTTTAAATTTCTAGCAAATCTAATTCTGGATACGATGACCAAAACTCATATAAAGTTTAAAATCAATTTAATGCTACACCCTTGCATCTTTGGCGATTGTGTTGAAACATGTTCCTTCATCAGGGGATTATTTCCTTCCAAACACAAATACCTTTCTCATTTGCAAAACCTAAACGCCGAACAATAATACTATTCAAGAGTAATTTTTCATCGAGAGTTAACATGGTGTGCCAGAAAAACAAAGAACGCTGAGCAGCTTATTTAGTGCTGTTTGTTATCATGCACGACGTAGGTATTCTGCGTACAATGTGGTTCTAGTATTCGGTTTCGTGAATGAAATTATTAGTGTGACCATGTTGAATAAATAATTCTGATTGTGGGACTTTTCTGTGGTACTGTTTAATTACGCTGTGGTTCTGTCGATGAATGAATCCTAAAGTATGACCATTCAAATGAAAGATACTGAGCAGTGCTTTCCTGTGTTACTGTGTATTATGAAGCAGTCGAGGTGGTTCTGTCTTTTGAATCTGTGAATTCCCAAAGTCCTATAGTCTGAAATGAAAGCTACTGCACCAACAATACTTTCCTGTAGTACTGTTAATCATGATGTACAAGTTGGGTGACTAGTGAACACGATTTTTCAGACTTTTGAGTCCGAATTAAGCATAAGTTAATAAGAAAATTACACGACTTTTTTTTAATGTTATATGCCTTGCAGTGTATGAACTTCTTAAGTGCTGACTGACTCTAATCTTGTCCCAGCTTGTCACTGTCCTGTGGTCTTGCTGTGTCCTTCTCTCATAGGAAAGTAAATTCTAGTCTTTGAACAAAAGATTGATGAGAGGGAAAGCTCTACATCCAGGCACGTACATCCTTCAGAAGAAACCCTGGGAGAAGCCGTCCAGGGCGAGTATCCCCTGGGTAGTAGGCTAGAAGAGAAAAATGCTCTTGAAACTGAAGGAGAGGAATTAAACTCCAAGGGCAAGAAATCTTTGATTATTCCTGGCTCTTGGTCACAAAGACTTGTGTTTATAGTTTGAAATCGATCGCGGTAAACAGATCTTGTAATTCCTGGTTCATACTTGTAAGGAAGGTTTCGAAATTTATAAACCAGTCTTTGGCCTTTCACCTGTTTGAATGAAATAAATATATATCAAATAAATAAGTAAATAATAAGCATCCTCTAATGGACATCAAAGCTTGTCTTGTCATTTGTTTCACTGTATATGTGCCTTCAGGTAGGGACTAACATATATAACGTTAAAAAATATTTCTAAACACGGAACAAAGACTAATTTTTACTATTTGTATGGCGTGGTCTTTTTAAACACTGGTTTGTACCACTAACAAAACGGTGAAAGGAGATAGCTAAGACACTTTTTAAGGCAGTAATGCATAGTACAGCATAATTAATAAACAGTTCCTCGTTAGCCTTACGGTATTTTGAAGGGGCTTTGACACTTCTTAAAGATTTCATCAACAGACTCAAAAGATTGAATCACGTTCTTTTGCAAGTTAGACAGTAACAGAGGAAAGCACTGCTCTGTAGCTTTCATTTGAAGGTCACGTTGAAGGGTAACATCCACAGAATCAAATTTATAAACACCATACAGCATAGTAAACAGCACCACAGAAAAGCACTGCTCAGTAGCTTTCATTTGACTTGTAACACTTTAGGATTTCATTCACAGACACAAAAGTTAGAATTGAAATATCTTGTACAGCTAAACAACTCAACAGAAAGGAGAAGTAGAAACAACTACTAAAACCATTCACGGATTTTACTCAAATGGGATTTCATCTACAAAGGAACTCTTTTTCCTTGAGGGCATAGCAAACAATTTTACAGAAAAGTGCTGCTCAGTATTTATTTAGCTTTCGATCATTTGAATGGTCACAATTTAAGATAACATCCAACAACTCAAGAGTTAGAACCCCACTTGTGTGGCATAGTAATCAGTGTATTACACAGAAAAGTACTGCAAAGTAGCTTTAATGAAATTGCCACACACAAGTTTTTCATTCACAGTCTCAAAAGTCAGAACCACTCTGTAAAGCATAGTAACAGCGACTCAAGAGGAAAAACTACCAATAGCCATAACTCGAATTTTAATTCTTTAGGATTTCATCCACAGGCTAATAGCCCTTTCGTTTTATTTTATGGCAGAATCAATAGTACCATAGGTACCCATCCAGGTTTGATTTTAGTTAATACTTAAACGTTAACAACCTAGAAACTCAGTACCACTTTGAACACGTCTATTTAAATTCTACTGAAATAGTCAAGCTCTAGGATTCTGATGCATCTTTTCAGAATGCTATCACCCAAAACTCACAAACAAGCCACGGACTCCTCGTTACGTACATCATACAAATTCATCATTTTCTTTAACACTGGCGATGAAGAACATATATTATTTTTTATCGATATCATTTATGTTACCATGTTCATGATCAGACTTATTTAAACAAAAACAATACCCAGCATGGAGAAAAATTGTTTAAAAGTGACGCATTCACTGCCGGCGTAAAACTTCGTTTATATTTTATTCATAAACAATGACTCTATTGCGTTCTGTGATTCCTGACTTCTTCGCATTACAAGATCGCTTTGTGGAGACTAAATAATTTCACAAATCTTCTCTAGGTAATTTTTTTTTTCTGTTAGGTACAATACTATAAAAACAACAGTTAACTCATACCCAAACGACTATCCTAACGGTTTCTTGAGGTTCACGCCTGGTTGAAAGGCACGTTCATTTTCAAGCCGAGCTCCCTGATCGGGCAAGCAGATTTTTTTAAAAAACGTTTATAGCTGCTTCTAGTTCTCATTTTGAAACAAACCCAATATCCCTTTTCAGAAAATACGTACCGTCAATGAGATTAGACCCAGTCCACCAGACAATACAGCCTGTTTTAAGGGAAATAACACAGAGGTCTAGCAGATGGTTATTGGACGACTGTTGATCATGGCAGCTATAAAATTGTACACCTTTTAATTGCGCCGTCCGCACGAGGTAGCTTAAACCTTCTATATTTCAAGTGCTAACATTTATAGGAGGCTGTTTTATACAATTTCTCTGTGGTAGATGATTGAACTTACATTGTTCTATCCAATAGTCGGCGGTCCGTGATGGATTGATTAAAAAATTTTAATCAATTTTTGTTTATTTTTGCTACAGTCTTTTACGACAAAAAGATAGAAACGCGCGCTAGCTAGGAGCAAAGCCCTTCAAAATATCTCAAAACGCTATTAGAATATCAAAGATTACCTTGGTGATAATTCCTTCTCGATAGTACAATCTCAAGGCTCGACTTAGCTTCCCGTAGTCCATTCCACCCCTCTGTTTGAAAATTCCCCATCTTTTTGCTACCTCGTGGTGATTCAAGAGCTGAAACTCTCCTTCCTCTTCTCTTCTCCAGCATATGATGGACTTGCACCTCTCATCAGCTAGAAGCTCTAACAAAAACTCCCAGAGATGAAGCATATTTTTATATTTGTGTTGTGGCCGCGTGGGGACCGAACAGGTCTGGACGGGGCGTGCTCCAGAGGTCTCGACCGTGTTGCAGTTCGCATTGAGTTCCATGTCCTTCCTCAGCTTAAAATCAACTACAATGAGTGTTCGGAAAGAAGCGTAAATGTGAAGAAAGACCAAACTGCTGATGTGAATATACCACCGACAATACAGACACGGTCTCAAAACGTGCTTAGGTTCATTGCTATGCTTGTTTTGCGCCTACGAGCACTCAGCTGACACGACCAAAAATGTTAAAACAAAGTAAACTCATTAATTTGATGTATGATATTGAAAGTCACTTGGCTGACCAAACGGAACCGATTTGACCCCAAAGTATGCCAATAACATAGAAATATCAAATTTATCGTCTTTTTGTAACATGGCTGTTCTCTTCTAGGAGATTGAATTAAACTATTGTCACCTGGTAACATTTGAGGTAGATCCTCACGTATCAACATTATTTTTTTAACTTTGTGACTTCCTGACTAAATTTGCAACATAGCTGTCCCCTGCCAGAATTGGTGAAATAATATTAGTGAAGACATGTTAACACTTGAGGTTGAATGGACTATGACCTCACCACCAACACAATGTTTTAATTTCGGGGTTCCTGACGAAAAAATGTACTTCATAACGGCCTTTTTCAAGGTGCCTGGATGGGCTGGATAAATTTTATTTTGTTTATTTTTTGTAGGTGGGTGATATGATTTTATTAATGATATTTTTCGTAAGAGATGCGCATTCTTTTACTGCATCACCTGTGTTCAAACTTTATGCTGGATAGCTTTTCGTGCCGACAGTAAAAGCCATCTGGTTTAGTACTGATAAACACCTATCCGATATGGGACTCTCTACTTTAGAGATCGGCGATGCGCAGCTTTGTTCAGTTGCAGAAATCGTGTCTAAATCACCGTTCTTATGTGTAAACAGAGGTGGTGGACACAGCCTTGATCACCGACACTGAAAAGAGAAAAGACACTGAAAAGAGAAATATTGTACCGTCTTGTCACCGAACATGCCTTAAACACATCTCACGTGACACATGTAAATCGCTCACTAACCGTTATAACTTTCTCCTTGAAAGTAAGGTAAAAATTAGATTCTCTGTTTTAGGTTTTTTTATAGTTATTTTTTCTAAATCGCCAAAAACAAAGTAATCTTACACGTGCACCCCACAGCTGCGCTTGTGCGGAACGGAACATTCCATTGAATTGTCGTTATTTTACAACTTCCACTCTATTGTAAGTCGTTAAAAAAACATCCGGTCGCTTCGGCTTAGGTGTTCACCGGTCGTATAATTGAATCTGCAAATTATGACCTAAAAAATTAAAAACCGGACAACACAGGTGATATAATGGAAATGATACTGATGGGTTTAATGATTGATACATCCTGCGAAATTTCAGAAACTCGGTGTTAGTGAACAGACGATGGCCTATTGTTAGGAATGGAGTAGGAGCAATCCGGATGAGGGGGGTAGGGGTTGGGCGACGGGAGGGGGGGGTGTGTTGGGCTGTGTTCTCTAAGAAAAGAAATTTGTTTTGGAAGCGGTAGATAGGGTTTAGTGTACACTACAATCATCATCATTAACACGTTAATCATAACTTAAGAATACCTCATCCTTGTAGAAATAAATTTGCAAATAAATAAATGATAATAATAGTAAGAGAAAGAAATCTGGCGACGAGATTTTTATATGGGAAAGAGCATCATTTTCTGAGAACTGGTCAGTTAAAGGAATTTATTGTACAATCGAAATTTGAAAAAGACTTTAACGGATGTAAGGGAATTTATATTCGCAAGTTAATAGGCTCCTGAGGGTCAAACGAAACAAATTGTTCTAGCTGCTGCGATGGGGGAAATGAAACACAGCGGAATTTAAAGCCGACAGACGTTTTGAGTGTTATCCTTACGTCTAAACGAATCTTTCAGGTTTCAGAACTTCTGAGGAAATACCGTACTTTTTGAGTACTTAAATCAGAATATTTTTTAATAACCGACGAATCACGTGGGCGCCGGGGTTTGAACCGCTAGAGTGGGGGGGTCTGGCGGCATACTACCTCAGAAATTTTTGAAATTTTGATGCTCTGAAACGTTGTTCTTGTGTTCTGATGGCGATTTCGTTTTACAATGTTCGCTTATTTTTAGGCCTATTACTATTTGCGTGTTTCACATACAAGTACTCGATTTTGTTTTATATTTCGAGCGGTATATTTAAGTTTTCTGGGTGTCATTTTCAATTAAGTACACCCTTAGGTGTATTAGATTTTATCCTAAGAATTCATTTGAAAATATGAAGACAGATGTCAAAGTCGGGATTTTTCCTATCCCGATCGCATATTCGTCAGGATTCGTGATTTTCAAGCAAAATCTTGAGAATCCCGACGAGATCGGGATGGTTCATCAGTGACGTATAATGAGATTCGGTTTTTAATAAAAGATTGCATATGAATGTAATGTGCGGAAGGGTTCTGGAATTTGTTCTAGTTGTTAAATGTCTGCTCCAGAAACGATGAACAACCGTTTTGGTCAGTTTTTTTAAAGGAATAGTATAGTATAACTCCACCTCCTCTCCCCTCATCTCCCCCACCAAAAAAGCAGTGTCACCCCCCCCCCCCCAGCGAAAAAAAAGCAGCGCACCTTTGAGACCAAGAGCCCGTGCATGTTCAAGAGCCAACTTCCTGTTTCCTATCATGGATGGCACGTCCAACGTTCATCTCGACAAAACAAATTAAACAGTTGACTTCTCGTAATGACGTCTGAAGTTGATTTCGCCTCGTAAACTAGCAAGGCTCATTAAACCTGATTGTATCAATACATCTACTTTGGTGCTTAGTTCTAATTTGGGACTCATCTAAAATAATGTGGGCTCTTAGTAATTTAAAACATTTTCATGCATTAATCTAACGCAGTTAACTTTTAGGGTAAAAAGGCTGGCCTCTAGCCCTCCCCTAGATATAAATGTAATATTTCGCTGTTATAAGTTCATAAGACTCGAAAGATTACCTCTTAAAAAAACGTCTTTTTTAACCTGTTCATTTCTAGAACACGTCACGGCGAGATGATTTGACAAACTTTTAATCTATTCATCAAATTATACGGTGTTACAACTTCAGACAAAACCTCTTTGACAGGTTTTGCACATTATTATAAATTTCTTAGGATTTTACAAAACGAAATTTGGATTTTTTGTGACTTCAGTGAAGTTTAACTGTGTGTGCTTTGAATCCACGAATATCTTTGGGAGACTATAATTATAGTCCTAGTGCAAACTTTTTGTGTTTAAAATGTTATTTTAAGCCATTTAACCTTTGACTGTAATATTTTGTTCCAAAACTGGACGTCAGTCTGGAAGTCGACCAAGGGCGATTGGTTGACAGTTATTTAGGTCTTTCCAGATGATTAGTCAAGGGCTTATGACTTCCTAACCGCGGATATAAAAATTCAATTCGACAGACCAAGTAAATACTAAGATGTACGCTGGTGTGCAGGAAAAGCAAACTTTAGTGCAAAACACCACGGCAAGAACTTAACAAAATTATTTGAAGAGGTAAGGCAAACTGAACAAAGTTGCGAGAAAAAGTTATGTAATATAAATATATATATATATATATATTCTTAAATACCGTTTAATTGCTTCCACTTATAGATTGGGGTTTTCTAGCACAAATTTATGGAATGCAAAGTCCAATTAACTCTGAAAGTGAATTTCATCCGGGCGTAGCCGCATTAGGTTCACTCGCCACAAGCAACACAAATTGAAGAAGACCAAGAGAGGACACCAGTTTCGCTCTGTTTTCTCTGAAAAGGTCTTACTTTTTCTGGCTGCACAAGCTTTGTAACCACAAAAAGAGGAAAGATATACAGCAATAAGAACTGCAATGAGTACCCAAAAGCAATACCCCGATGATCATTAGTGTTTCACCTCAGTTTCGCAAGATAAACAGACCAACAGCGTGTTATTGAAGACCTGTTGATTTCAGTTTTAGACTTTTATTAACCCATGTATGAATTTCAATGTCTTTTTTCAGTGGAATTCAAGAGCCAATGGACGAAACGTTAGAGCAGATTAATCTGCAATTACGACGAGCAACCGAACATGAGAAAAGACCAGGTTACAGAAAGCAGCCGCGTTTCAAGAACATCATTCATCTTTGGGAATTTCTGCTTGATCTTTTAGCGGACGACGACTGCCGTCCTTTGATAAGCTGGAGCAACAAAGAACGTAAAGAATTTCAGCTGAAGAACCCTGAAGAGATAGCCAAACGGTGGGGTGCGGTAAAAAGAAGACCAGGAATGAATCACGAGAAGATGACTCGGTCGTTGAGATTTTACTATGCTCAAGGGATTATCCAAAAGGTATTGCATTTATGTCACTAGTAGAGCTTCATATGCTTGTTGTAGATATAACAGTTACTGCTTATTGCCAAATGTTCATGAAGCGAGCATTACAATTACATCAATCAATATTTTAGCTGTTCCCCCTAAAAGACGTTAAATTCTCCCCGAGAGTTTTATTCGAGCTTAACATGCATTGCCTGCGAGTGGATGAAGCATATGTTTAAGAGAATCTGGAGATTCAGCACCCGGCAGCAGCTATTTTTGATAAACTCCCTGTAGCTATTAGAAACATAACTGAGTACAATTCCTTCTGAGACACCTTTCATGTAAGGAATCTCAAAAACAAAACACAACTGTAAATATTTATATACTCTATATATTTTTTTATTTATATATATATTTTTATGTGAAAGGTTTGTGAAAGGTTTGAACCCAGGAGTCATTTCTATTTTTATATTATTATTATTATTACTTTTTTTTTTATTTATAGTGTAGATATTGTAGATGAAGAACCTCACTTTGTTGGATACTCTGCAATAAACCATTATTATCATCATCATCATCATTATTATTATTATTATTATTATTATTATTATTATTTTGTCATGATTTTATTGATCAAAAAATGTGATATTTTTCAAACCGGTTATAAAGACGGCTCTTGGGGAAAAACGAAAGAAGAACTGACACGAGTTTGTATTTATATACCCGGCACTAAAAGTAGGGATTTCACCGTTTTTCAAACGCTGTAAGAGAATTCACATCGTTGCTTTTTTGGTTTTAGGTCAAGGGACAAAAATTGGTTTACAAGTTTCACAAACTTCCTTACAAATATCATCCGAGAAAGAAAACATATCAGCAAGAGAAGACCCGTGAAACAGTAAAAGAAACCCTAAATGAGAATGTAGAGTTATTGACATCTAAACAACCTAGGCAGATCAACAACATTTGCTCTGCCCTCAGCTTTAGTAGTATGTCAGGAAGACGTTGGGATTGGTCTTTCGAACCCACGTGGTCTTCTCATTTTGTCTGTTGGCACCCTGTTATCCCGAATTGCCAATCATTAACCAGGACAACTCAGACTAGAATCATGTTCCCATCTGGTGGTCACTCAAAAACGAACCTTCCTTCGTCACTGGATTTTGAACCAATACCAATAAAAACTGTCTGTCCAGTTTATTACAGATGTGGTTTAGCAGCTCCTAAATCAATTCCTGTTTCTGTAATAAAACAAACTGCGTGACTAGCTTGAATAAGGGAGGATAGTTTTAAGAGCTTGCCTGTATGTACCAAGGACACGAAGGCAACGAGAACGTCGCTTAAAAAGTGAATTTGCGTTCTTTCAGTCTTTATCACGATTGCTCCTACCCACTTACTTTGTCAAATATAGGCCACCCTCCTTGAGTTGAAATCCTAGGGACTATATATATCCAAGTTCAGAAAGAGAAATAAAATTTCGTCGTTGTTTTTTTATAGTACTCCACAAAACGCGAATTGATTAAGTAGGCATTTTCACGTCTTAGTCGTGCAAAAATGGGCAGAAAATGTACAAACAAGCGGGATGCACGTGCAAAGTTGTTGTTTTTCTTATAAAATCTGTTTTTTTTACGTTCTCGTTGCCGTCCGCGTCTTTGCATCTTAAAGTCCCTATTTCGAATGTTGCACAAAAATGGTGTGGCTATTGAAATGATGGATCTAATCGTTTTCGGTGCAAAGAACGAATGAACGTGGTAATTAACTCTAACTTTTCACAGTGTACCAGCAATTTCCTGCACCAAGGCCAGTCAAGCTGAAGCTGATTCATCCCTTCAATCTTAGCGACAAAAATGCGATGCTAGTAAATATGCGTTATTACCCAAGCGTCGGGTCAAGATGGCTAGAAATTCACAGGAGGTGTCTGTTCTAATAAAACCACTAAAACATGCGTACAGCTTGAGAGAATGTTAGGCGCTTAACTAAAATTAAAAGGTATTTGTCGGAGAGTTGATCGAGAATATAGTATGTTAATAGAGGTTATAATAGTGCGAAACCTACATCTTCAGTTTTTACTTACGCTCATGATTGAAACAAAATGTCTCCAAAAACATTTCTTTTCACTTTGTCATTCCTTTTCGTCGCAATAGTATTGACCGTACGTCAGATTTCTTCCTGAAATGTAAATGAGTTGGTTAGCAGCTCGTGCATATGGAATATGGAGAAATAAAAATTGGCATAGTTCCTTTGCTTCACACGTATCAGTATGTTCCCACACATCGCATTACATCTTAGCACAAAACAATCACCACACCTCATTGAATCATCTCACATCACTTTACGTCACATCACATCACGTCATAACACCACATCACATCTATCACATAACATCACTTCACATATTACATCACCGCATCACTTAACATCACATCTATCACATTACGTCACTTCACATATTACATCACCGCATCACATTAGATCACATCGTAGTACATCTGTGACTTGATTTCGCCCTCATTACAGCTCATCACAGATCACAGACGACGGATCTGACACCAAAGCCGAATGGTTTCAAAACCCTCCTACATTTTAATTTTTCGCCTCTAATTGCCTTTAAGCCAGAGGGCGCTTCTCTTAAATGCGCTCTTATACAGTGTTCCCTAACTTCCTTTCCAGGCCGTTGCAATCTTTAGTATGGAGCATCAAATCATTCGCTTGAAAATTAAGTGCTTGATAGGGGTCCCCTGTACAATATTTCCAAGACTTCGCCCTTTATAGCGAAAACGTTTGCCCACCGGCTAGGGCCAAATGATTCCAAACACCTGTCTGTTTCCGACCATTGGCCTCGGTAGCATTAATGGCCTGATACGCTACAGGAGCTGATTTGTGCATAACCGCATAAATAGACTTCTTAACAGTGCCTGCGTGCGTGGAATCCTTAAAAGATAATTAAATACGTCCATGTTCCAACCACTGTAAATACAATGAATCAACAAAGTCTGATGAAAGCTCACTAAAATCCGCGAAGTCATTGTACTACTATCAGCAGAATCGGATTTCATTTTCGTTTCACACTTAATGATCCAAGCGAGGGAAAAACCAAAAGCCCTATTTTGCACAAAAAATTAGTGAAACTCTGATTGGTTCTGGCAGTTGTCGCAGTGGTAATGGTTATGACGGTAGTAGTACTGGTATTGGTAGTGGTGGTGGTAGTGGTAGTGTTACAGTGCACTTGTAGTAGTGGCAGTGTACTGTAGTGTAGTGTAATGTAGTGTAATGTACAGCTGTAGTAGTGTAACATAGCAAGAAGTAATTAGTGCATAATAGTGCGACGTATTCTTGACTAATACGTCATTATTTCACGGGTTAAGTAATAAAAATCACCCTGGTAGTAGTAGTACAGGTTTTATCATTTTATGCATGATATGATGCAACTACTACTGACTATGTGCAAATTTAGGTAGTAATGTAATTCCTTTTCTTCTAGTTTTGTTGCGTTGTTAAAATTTGAGGTGTTGAAGGTTCCAGTTCGTCCTCAGTTCCTAATTTGCACCGTTTTGGAGCAAACAAAGGACAATTTGAAGTAAATTTGCGTATAGCTTGGTAGCATGGTTAGTATCAGACACCCCCAGCTAAAAATCCCGGATCAGCCCTTGTAGTAGCAGTCGGTAGTGTTCTTTCCTGATTTTCTTTCCCACAGTAGTAGTAGTAGTAGTAGTAGTAGTAGTAGTAGTAGTAGTAGTAGTAGCAGTAGCAGTAGCAGTAGCAGTAGCAGTAGCAGTAGCAGTAGCAGTAGCAGTAGCAGTAGCAGTAGCAGTAGCAGTAGCAGTAGCAGTAGCAGTAGCAGTAGCAGTAGCAGTAGTAGTAGTAGTAGTAGTAGTAGTAGTAGTAGTAGCGGTAGCAGTAGTAGTAGCAGTAAGTAAGTAAGTAATAAATTGCTTTATTTGCATGACCGCATCATTTTACAGTATTGCAAAAGCATGCATATGACAATCAAAATATAAAACAAACAGCACTAATAATAATCTAGAAAAATTCAGTC